AATCAATATTTCAATCACGAACCATGGCGAAGTGCGCGTCGCCGACGGACTTCTGCTTTGATGCATCCGATGTGCCGCATTCAATCGAAAATTCGAAATCTCACGTGCTCAGAACGCCAGTCTCTTTGCGCTTCCGACCCCAAGAGTTGTAGTTCTGATCACTTTCATTGCTGATGATCACGAGCACGTATTACTAGCTCTCCGTTATCCAAAGCTCGCGAACATCTTTCTGCCCCTGCTCGCGAGTTGCCTGAACAGCGGTGGCGACAGGCGCAGTCTGCAGCCGTCTCCTTCGACGAGTTGGATGCATAGCGCATGGCACAACGATGACGACATTTACCGCGAACAACCACAGGGCAAGCTTAGAGCACACGTCTGACGACAGGGCCTTGCCGTTCCCGCTGTCTCTGCCACGCTTTGCTCCGTCTTTCCCGCACTTCTAAGGTGCCTGTTCCTGTTGACCAGTCTGACCCTCGGGTGAGTATATGCGTGTATCTCTGCAATGAAAACCTCACTATGCCCGACGTCGTAGGAGGTAGAGGTGGTCGGCGTGTTATTCAAAGTGTTCGAGTTGGGGTCTTAGGGTACGTCCACTCTCTCACCAGTTATGCCACGCTCACACGGGCATTCAATAGATATATCCGTTCACGGGTTTGGCCATGTATATGCACACAGAAGGTGCTGACGCGGTGGGTATGATCTGTAGCAGGGTACCTACAAGCGTCCCGCTTTCCGACGGCCCACGGCGCACTGGAGAGGGACCCCAGAACACATGATAATAAGTATGTGCGGGGCACCGTGTACCTAAGAGTATGAGATACATCTTCACGAATATGAGTGGTACAGAACATAATTGCAATTTACACGATACAAGTGCAAGTGGTTAGGAATTCAGCTTACCGAGCTGCTCAAAGCTACTTGATGCTACAGGCAAATCCAGGTCGATTCTGAAGGTGTCGTGTACTAGAGTACATTCACAACCACGCCCCCCGCGAACGACCGCGGGCCAAAGCCACGCAGTCAGGCGGCGACAGTACTCTTGTCTGCGCCCCCGTTCCGGACATGATAGTTTGTTGGCGACATCGGTCTTAATCTTCTGTCTTGGAATGCGTACCCACAGACAAATCCCCACCCTTGAAGGTGCTGCGGTGTTCCCTCGACGCACGAATCATCACAGTCGAGAAGATCATCCCCTGCCTAAGGTAAGTTTACGGAAAGAGTTGTCGCAGAATCACGCTCACGATGATGGGGCACATCTAGATTATAAGAGCTCAGGATCAGAAGCAGAAATGGCGCAGAGTGGGCTTTGGACTTACGGGGTCTAAGACTATCCACAGCCCAGCCGAATGCATGAATCTCGTTGTAATGAGCGCAGTGTGAAAGCAGGAGTAAATGGCCGCTAATATACGGAGCCCAAGCCGTGTGAGATTCAGTTCTATCGACATCGCACGCAACTTGAAGGGAGACTCACCTGACTCGATGATCGCAGCAGTAACTCCGATGATGCGGATTCCTGCTACAGTGGGCCCTGGTAGCTTTCTATGGATGGCCCAAATCTTCCATGATATCATGACTGCCAGGGACCTCTGTAAGTCTCGGGGATCACACTTGTATTCGTCTTCCTTACCTGTACTCAGGAGATTGAGTGTTAGAGTAACAACATAAAAAGAGTTTATTGGCATGTCCGAGTCCTCCGCAGGCTGCGAAACACTCCAGATGTACCATGTACCCAGTGCTGTTGAGATATCAATCGCAAATGCCACTCTTTGCAACGAATTTGCGTAGGAGAACTCACATATGTTGGTCAGAAAGAGCACGGAAGGGACAGCTATTGCCAGCCACTTGCGTTCATGAACCACGAACACCCGATAGATCTGGTATGATATTAAGTCGAAGACATCCGCTCTCGCATTCAAACGTACCATGAGAGCATCACAAACGAGGGTGAGCACCGTATAGATGGAAGCCTTGGCAGCACTGTACTGCCGGTTGAGCATGCGATAGTATTTCACTGGTGCATTCGCTACATCCATGTGATCGGTGAATGCGTGAAGTATGCGATTGACCTGCAATGCTAGATGCTACTTGCGCTGTCAGAGAATGTTCAGTGTCATGGTTGCAGAGAGCTCCGTGCGTACCGTAGTGACCAGGGAAAAGATCACCAGAGCAACGGCGAGGAAAAGCAGTGTCGGCCTGCCCGCACCATGTCTTACGTAGAGTACGCAGAGAAGCTTGAGAAAGAGGACAAAGTACATCCCTGCGGCGCGCAATGAGTTTGTCCCTGGTGGTGCGACTGAGCCTGAGCCACTCGCCGTAGCACACGACCTCCAGCAGTGTGCCTATGAGGTCTGTCGTTGCCGTCGGAACAGCCATGACGGGCCGGGTTTGATGGAAGAGAGCGACAGGGTCGGCTCTGGGAGGCGGAAGATATTGCGTTGAGACTAGAATCGACGTTTTTGCTGACAACACTATATATCTAAGAAAACAGCAACTACGGGTACCCCAACTGGACGCCGACTCGGTTGACGACGCGGACACCCCAGTGGCGTTTGGCCGGCCTGCCAGGGAGAAGCCTCGGTACCCGTCGGTCTTCGCCATACGAGAAACCGGATGCTTTCCCGCAGCCATTCGACGCGATTTGCAGGTTGATTCCAGTACGATCCTTGTCGGTGTCTTGCCGGCACATCCAACATGCCGTCGGGGTGTTAACGTACCATGGTATCGGTGCACGGGACGCGTTGACTCTGGAAGGGCCCTCTCAGACGAAATATGACATTTGTGGTCCCTTCCACCACCACCGTGCTTCATGTCAACAGCTGTCATCCTCTGCTTGATGGCCGCCGTCGGCGGGACGTCTACAGCGGTCGCCTACATCTTATAGCTGCCTAGCGCTCTGCCGAACGTTGAAAGTTTGACTTCCGATCTACATCTGTAAACCAAACTGCGCTGTGGAAAGGCACTCGCTCTCAAAGGACAGAAGAACCCAGCATTAGCAGAATCGTCCGCTACACAACGTGACAATCCTAGACAAGTGGCGTACATTTCTGCTGACGTCGGCTAGTGGACGTCGAACATTATCATAGAAGCATCGATGTCTACAGCGGTCATGGGAGATCGAGTTACCTCGTTATCGGCAAGAGAAATTAGTGAATGAACGTACCCTGAGCTTACGAAATCTGTAGCAGAGTCCACTTCGGTGGTCGATAATGCATATGAGTCAAGTCAGTCATGATGCACGACGGGACACGTCGCCGACAGACGGCTTCAAGTTACGCCTTGATGTGCCCAATGTGCCGCATTTTGTCTCGCGTGCCCGGGGTGCGCAGTGCTTCTCTTCGCACCTCCTCCGATTTTCGGGAACTGTAGCCCCGTTAGCACGCATCACCTTCATGAACCGCCAGCGATCATGGACACATAACTATGCTGTTCAGCTACATTTAATATGCACGAATACCTTTGTGCTTCCGCGGGAGTCGCTTGGTGTGTTCGTGCGGCGGTGGCGAGAAGTACAACATCTCCTTCGACGGGACGCTAGGGATCGGCTTGCCACGAAAATGAACGCTTAGCACATGACGCAACAGATGACGACATTTCCCGCGGATGACCGAAGGGCGAGGCAGCAGCGAACGACGCTTGATAGCACGACAATACCCAGAACCACGTCTCTATTTTGGGCGTGGCAATCTGTTGGTGACTTCGATTTCATTATTCTGTTTCGAAGTACGTCGGAAGAGACAGGCTACCGTTCATAAAAGTACTGCTGTGGTATTGCTGAGACGCGCGGACCATCACAGCTGTGAAGATCAGTCCCTGCTTTGTGTGAGTGCACGCAAAGAGTTGCCACAGAACTACGCTCACAATAATGGAGCACATCTAGACCATGAGAACTCAGATGTGGAAGGAGAGATGGTGCGGGATGAGCCTTGAACGTACGGGGTCAAGAATAATATTAATCCACAATCCAATTGAGCCCAGGACGCTCATCACGATAAGTGTGATGAGAATGCAAGAATATATAGCTGCTATACACATCGCCGAGACTCAGCTTTTCGTAGATACACCATGCGGCGAGAGCTCACCCGACTCGACGATGATAGCAACGATGCCTTGGATGCGGATTCCAGCTATAGCACGCACCTGTACCTTCCTATGAATGGCCCAGACCTTCCATGCTATCATGGCTAGCGAAGATATCCGTAAGCATCAATGATCACGCTTGTGCCTGGCGCCCTTACTTGTGCATAGCAGATTCAATGCCAGCGTAACTGCATAGAAGAGGTTGGTCTGTATTAATGGGGTCTTCCCAAGCCACGACAGACTCCATGCGTAATGCACCGCCAGTGCTATTGCCATGTGAATCCCAAAGCCTACTCTTCGAGTAGCACTCACCTATATCGGCCAGAAAGAGCAAAGAAGGGACGACGATTGTGGAACGCTTGTGCTCGTACACCACGAACACTCGATATACCTAGAGCAATACGTCAGTCAATATGCCCTCTCTTGCATCTAGACGCACCATGAGAGCATCGCATACAAGGGTCAGTGCCGCATAGATGGAAACTTTGGCAGCAGTTTCCCTTTTGTTAAGCGTATGATAGAATGTTGCTACGGCATCTGCCACGTCCATGTGATCCGTGAATGCGTGAACTATGCGATTCATCTGTATTACTAGGTGCTACTCATAACATCAATGCATATTTTTTGTCAAACTCGGGCATAGCGCCGCACGTACCGCAGTGATTAGGAGAAACATGGTGAGTGCGATGGCAAGTTGTTGTCGTATTGACCTGCTCGCCCGATGTCTCGTGTATAGTATGTAAAGAAACCTGCAAAAGAGCACGAAGTACATCCCTAAAGTGCGCAATAAGCTTATCTCCGATGGAGTACCGAGTATAAGCCACTCACCGTAGCACACAGCCTCCAGCAATGTGCCTACAAAGTCTGCTAGTGGCATCGTGAGAGCCATGGCGGATTAGGTATGACGGAAGACAGTGGCAAGCTCAGTTCCTAACGCGAAAGATACTCAGTGAAGATTGACCATTTTTGCTTGCAGCGCAGTTATATATGTGCCTTAACGAGCGACAATCGTAGGCATCTCATCTAAACGCCGACTCGGTCGGCATCGTCGAGAGCTGTTCGGACCGCCTACTGGTGGACGTCGGATGTCACTATAGGAGCAAATGCCGCGACTATAGGAGGTTTCGTTGTCGAAAGGGCCTCACCAGATTTCACGTGCCTGGAGCGGCAGTTTCTCCGCATCCCCGGGAGCTGTAGTTCTGTTCGTACACATCATCTTCGTGAGTCGGCGGTCGACGAGCACAGATACAACTTTACCTGGAACGATATACACCCTTTGGCCAATCTATAGAACTCGAAAACTCCGCAGACGTTAGTGCGAACGAATTCCAACGAAATGAGACCTGTCCGCCCAAGCATCAGTGATCCTGAGACATTTGACCCACTGATAACCCCCTCCCCCCAACGAAAATGAGGGTGCTATTTCGATGCCGCTAGACTCATCGGTCAATTTAGATCTCTCCGCGGACCCAGGCCCGCACGCGAATATCGAAGAGGAGGGCCGATACACGAGAGAAATTGAAACTTTTTGGTCGCAAAAAAATGCAAAAACAGCCTGAAAAAATAAGTAAGAAAATGTCGTATTTTTCCTCTCGGTATCTGCCGGCCCGGCAACTCGGCAACCCGGCAGCTGAACTGATTATCTGCCGGGTGCCGTAGCCCCGGGCGCTTTGACAATGGCGGACAATCGGCTCGGCTGCCGGATATCAGGAGGCATTTTCTTATTTTTTCAGGCTGTTTTCGCATATTTTTGTAACAAAAAGGTTCCAAATTTCTCTCGTGATAGGCAGCGGACAAGCCAGAGTTACTTGTAGTTGTCGATCGCATATATTGTTTCCAGTCGAATACTACACCAATAAAATCATACACGTGTGCTGAATTTTCTCAATCAAGCTGCCCGTGGTTTTAGATGGGGTGATGTAGTATAGTTAGTGCGACGTGCCCGCGCAGACATTAGTGTCTGTGGGTTATGATCACGAAATGCAGGATCATCGGGCGGGTTAAGCGCCTTAGGTGATGGCGGGATTACCGACGCTTGCGGACCCGTTTCACTTCGTCCGCACTAACGTCCGGGGAGTTTTCGAACTCTGAGTCCTGGTTCTTGGCTGGGGGTGTCTATCTTTCCAAATCATTCGGCTACGTCTGAAGTCCGCGATTGTCATTCTGCCTGGGCACTTAGTATCTTCGTGCAGCGATGCCGACAAGCGCACGCCGGGACGTCACCTTCGACGAGACGCTAGAGATCGACGCGCTACGGCGATGGACACTCAGCACATGGCACAATGATGAGATTTCCCGCGAACGACTCGGACCGTAGATTGAGTTTGAGGAGACAGGTAGTAACAAATGATACTTGATGGCAAAATAACACCGAGATACACATTCCCATTCCGTACGTGATGGTCCGCTGTTAACCTAAGCTTTACCATCTTCTGACTCGAGATACGTCGGAAGGGAGAGGTTAATGCTCAGGAAAGTGTCGCTGTGGTATTGCCTCGACGCGCGAACCATCACGTTCATGAAAACCATTCCCTGCTCTGGGTCAGTATGCGCAAAATATCACCGTGATAGTACACTTACGATGATAGGGGGTATCTGCAACGGAAAAGCTCAGGATAAGGAGAGAAGGTATAAAGAAGGTAAAGGACGTACGGGGTCCAAGACGATCCACAGTCCAATCGTGTGAATGATACTCGTCACGATGAGTGTGACAAGAACGCATGTGTATATGGCCGCTGCACATGCCACCAAAATCAAGTGATGATCAGCTTCTGCTTATGCAGCATGCGATGGGAACTCACCAGACTCAACGATGATGGCAACGATGCCTTGAATGCGGACTCCTGCCACAGCACGTCCCGGTAATTTACGATGAATGGTCCAGATTTTCAATGCTATCATGACTGACGAGAATATGTCAATATCAATAGTCGCACCTGTGCTCGGCACTCTTACTTGTGCATAACAGATTCAGTGCAAGCGTAACTCCGTAAAAGATGTTGATCGGTACAAGCGGGGACATCCCGAGCCGCGACCTGCTGACGTGCGAGCCGCTCCATACGTACCACACCGCCAGTGCTATTACCGTGTAAATCGCATATCCTGCTCCTTTCATGGGAACACTCACCTAGATCGGCCAGAAAGAGCACAAACGGGACGGCTATAATGGCACGCTTTCGGTCGTACACCACGTATACTCGATAAACCTATAGCGATGTGAGCTGAGGACGTCCTCTCTCGCATTTGGACGTACCATGAGTATATCACAGATGAGGGTCAAGGCTACATAGATGGAAGCCTTAGCAGCACTTTCCTTCTTGCTGAGCTTTGAATAATACAATGCCGGGCCGTTCGCCACGTCCATGTTATCCGTGAACGCGCGAGTTATGCGATTGACTTGGATTGACAAGTGCTACTAACGTTGTCAGCGCATGTTTGTCATACTCGGCGCGCAGAACACCGCACGTACCGCAGTGATCAGGAGAAATATGACGATCGCGATGGCAAGGAGGTATCGTGCCGGCCTGCCCGCCAAGTGCCTTGCGTAGAGTACACGAATAAACCTAGTAAAGAACACAAAGTACATCCCTACGGTGCACGATAAGCATGTCTCTGGAGGTAGCTGGCTTGAGCCACTCACCGTAACATAGCGTCTCCAGCAGCGTGCCTATGAAATCTGCTTTCGGTACCGTAACAGCCATGACGGACTAGTAGGTCTGACGAATGAGAATGGCAAGGTCAGCCTTGGGAAGCAGGAGATACCGGCTCGAGGCTTGGGTCTACATCTTCGCCGGCAACACCGTTATATACTTCAGTGAGCGGCAATCGGAGCATCTCAGGCGATTGGGAATGAATGCTTCCCGTGGCGAAGTTTGCATTCGCAGATGTGTATCGGAGGTCAAAACTTTTATGTCCGCCGGAGTGTTGGTCGGTCTCATAGGTTACCGCTGCAGACGCTCCGCCGAATGCGGCGATCACGGAGAGGACGGCAGACGCTGAAAGAGGACGCGGTGGTTGGTAGAAAGGTCTGCAAAGGGCAGATCCCGTCTAGATGGGCCCTTCCAGAGCCGACACGTCCTCTGCGCCGATCCCATGGCGCGCTGACACTCCGACCACATGCCGGCCTTGCCGAAAAGGCGCCGCATCCAGCGCTGCTTGACCAGCCAGAAGCGTCGGCATCCGTGGCCATTATCGGCATTCCTGGTCATACGGATGTCTTCACCGCCTGAGAAGGCAAGAGCATCACACACCAATATGATCGCCTGCCCCATAACGTGCTAATCGTATACAGACGGCGCACAGTCTGGCCGATGCAAGGTACTCGAGCTGCGGCTAGTGGCCATCGAACGTTACTATAGAAGCACTTACGGCGACTTGGATGCCTCGTTGTCGGCAAGAGACAACAATGCCCGGATACAGTCCGCCTTTACGAGATCTATGACAGAATCAATGTCGATTCTCAATCATCACGAGGTACCCACGAGGTGCGCGTCGCTGACAGACCGGTTTTCGCCTGCGTGCACCCGATGCACCCGATACGCCACACCCGCTCCCAGGCACATATGTGCCTGGAGTACTGAGCTCCCGCACACGAGGCTGCTGAAAATCACATTCTGGCCAGGGCTAGCGATGGTTTGCGTTCTTGGCCAACATATACTCACTCACGTTCTCGGCTAGTGTTCATTCACGCTGCGCACGCGCGTGGTCAGATAGGGGCATCAATGCGGTCCACGTTCGCCTTGTTAGTATTCGCTTACGTTGCGCCCTAGGTGCAACTGAGTACCGTGGCAGGCTGATCAATAGACGACTTTACGGGGCCTCTTATCATGCCTGTGGCGAATACAACTTGTCCAAAGTTGATATAGTCTGTCTGCTCCTCCAGTGCCTTATCTCAACGCCCTTTAGCGAGGCTTAGGGGTGCGTACCATCGAATGGGGTGCCGTTCTCGTGGTCTTGACACCATTCCATACTCCATACGAGAACAAAGACCAGGCACAGGTGAGCTCTACTAGTGTGATTGTTAGTCCAGGACAAGACGTACCTAGGCGGTATCTTCATAGCATTAAGTTGTAATGGACGTCATCTGTTCACATGGCCATGTAAACACATCACTGGACGGACCGACGGCAGCAAAACAGCGAGACAGGTCTTCGAAGATCGAGAAGACATGCTTCTGAGCAGGCACGAGGATTTCGTGAAGCGCGAGAAGGCTGCTGCTGCAGTCAGGTTGCACCTCTTGGGGTACAACTATTCTATTGCTGAACCTGCTCGCATACTGGAGAATGGGCATAGAGAGACTCGGCTAGGTCTATGATCGTACCGACAGCCTGTGCGTTTCTGTAATCACTGACATATCTGGCCCAGGAACATTCCTGTACGTCTTCGGACGCTAAGTGACACTAGGCAGCGACTGCAGTCAGGGGCCGACTTGGTCTTGGACGCCAGAGGCCTAACATGGTTGCGTTGGCTCACGTTGCATCGCAAGAATTCACGCGCAGTTGCGTTAGCTTGCACTTAGTCGTGTGGGGCCGTACCGAGCTGCACGGAGCTGAGTTCAGTCGTACTCAGCTTCCTAGAGAGCTGCAACCTTTTGTAGCTGGATTCCGCCCTGCTCGCACGCATCATTTCCGTGGGCCGATAGAATTCAGGATGACTGTGGACTCACGGTATTATTCCCCGTCCCCGCCCCCGTCCGAAATTTGCGGACATACTTGTCTTCACTCGATTGGCAATTCATAGTGTCCTGGTGTCGACGGCAAGTGCATGCCGGAACACCACTTTTGACGATGCGCTAGAGACCAACGCGCCGCGGCAACGGACGCTTAGCTAATGGCAGAACGCATACCGTACTGCTGCTCGTGTTTCCTGCGTTTCATCTAGGGACGACGTTCGTTGCATGTAACAGCGACCTCGGATCGCCACTCGTCGGAAGTTGTCGCGGTTCACAGGATAGTGCCGGCGTGGGACAGGTACCACAGGTAGGTCGAAGTTTTCAGGACCGCGGCGTACTCTCGGACGGCGCCACAAATCGGTTGGTGGCGGTGGCTGACACGGGTCGTAGTAGCTGCTGCCGCCGCTCAAGTCGAAAAAGTGTAATACGACGTCTGACAGCATGGTAGCACTCAAATCCGTGTTCCAATCTTGGACACGATGGTCCGTTGGTGATATCAGTGCTATTGCTCTGTCCCAGTATGCGTAGAGAGAGACAAATCCCTGCTCATGAAGGTATCGCTGTGGTATTCTCTCGACGCGCGAACCATCAAGGCCGAGAAGATCATTCCCTGCCCCAGGTAAGTTTACACAAAGTGCTGTCTCCCAGAACTGCACTCACGATGATGGGGCATGTCTAGACCACAAGAGCTCAGAATCAGAAGGAGAGATGGCGTAGAGTGAGTCTCGAACGTACCGGGTCTAAGACAATCCACAGTCCAGTCGTGTTCAGGGAACTCGTTAAGATCAGTGCGATGAGAACGAAAAAATATACAGCCGCTATAGACCGCCAAACCACGTGAGATTCGGTATCTGTGAATGTGGCACGCAAGGAAGACTAGCCTGACTCGATGATAACAGCAAAGATCCCCATGATACGAACTCCTGCCACAGCGGGTCCTGGTAGCTTTCTATGAATAGCCCAAATCTTCCACGATATCATGACTAGAAAGCGTATCCATAAGTGTGAGTGATGATAGTTGTGTTCGAGGTTGGACGTCCTCACCTGTACATAGGAGATTGAGCGCCAGGGTAACCGCATAGAAGTAGTTGATTTGTATAAGTGCGATCTTCGCAGCCCGGAATCCATCAATTTGTAAGAGATTCCATGTGTACCATATGGCCAGTGCTATTGCCGTATTAATCGCAGATTTCACTGTTTATGGAGGAAAATGCACCTATATCGGCCGAGAATAGCATGGAAGGGACGGCAACTGTGTAGTATACGCGGTCGTACACCACGAACACCCGATATACCTAGGTGTGATGTGTGTGAGGCGAAGATACCTGTTCTCGCATATAATTGTACCATAAGAGCATCGCACACGAGGGTCAGCGTCGTATAGATAGATGCCTTCGTCGCACTCGCTCGTGCGCTGAGAGTAGTATAATATGTCGTTGGGGCGTTCGCCACGTCTATATGATCTGTGAACGCCTGAAGTATGCGATGGACCTGCAGCGCTAGGTGCTACGGGACGTTACCAATGTATGATTGACACCATAGTTACATGGAGCGCGGTACGCACCGTGGTAATCAGGGAGAATATCACCAGCGCAATTACGAAGAGGATTAGTGTCGGCCTGCCCGCCTGACGTCTTGCGTAGAGCACGTAAAGGAATTCTAAGAAGAAAACGAAGTACATCCCTGTGGTGTGTAATAAGCTGGTCTCCTGCGGAGATACGTAGGAGTCGCTCACCGTAGCACATGATCTCCAAAAGCGTGCCTATGAGGTCTGCTTTTGCTATTGGAAGAGTCATGACGACCTGGATATAACGGTGAGAGAGTGAAACTCGACCTTGGAAGTGGGAGATATCGAGTCGAGGGTGGAGTCGACATCTTTGCAACACAACTATATATCTCAGAAATCGACAGTCGTGGGTAACTCGACTGACATCACAAAGGTGCTAGAAGCACTTGATTGGCCGGGAGCGCCGGTATCTGTCGTTGCCAGCTGTCATACAAGCAGCGCTATATCTGAAAAGCCCTGAGAAGCCATAAATATCCAGCGTTTGTAGGACGTGCTAATCATAGACAGACGGCGTGCAATTTGGCCGACGTTGGTTAGAATTATTGTTATCAGGGTCGAACGTTACTATAGAAGCATCCAGTGACCACAAGACTCATCGTCAATGAGAGAAAATGGGCAAATATAGCCTGTCTTACGATTATATCACGACTAGTCGCCGATATTAATGAGCTGAGCGGTTTTCGCTTCGATCGTGATGCGCCTGATGCGCCACATTTGATCAATTTGATCCAGCGTGCCTGAGGCGCTAGCCCGCCGGGAGCCGCAGTTTTTCGCAGCGGGCATGTACGTACGAAGCAAGAACCACAAAGATTGCTCCATGGTCTGTAGCTTCACACGGGACCCTTCCACGCTTGCCTGCTCCATGTGAAAAGTCCAAGTCTCTACTGAGATACCATTCAAGCTGGATTTAATCGCTCCAACCGCAAGCCATTTCCTACGGTACTGGGCAGTGAGTATATGTCGAGCTTCTGCCGAACAAGATCTCCCACGAGTGACTGTGAGCCGATGCTGTAAAGCACGCATCTCTCCCGCATGCCAAGTCGAGTCGCCGCCGGCCCAGCCGTCTCAGCGAGGCAATTGAGGCAGGGAAAAACGGGTATGGGATAGTTGGGACTAGACGAGTGACGGCATAACAAGCACGAAGTGCACTAGGTATTAGTGACAGCAAAGTGCATGCATGCCCTTCCGATAGGACGCCAGAGCTTGGTACGCCACGACGGTCGGCGTTCCTGCTATCGATTGAAGCCGCAGACACGGACGCTGATATTCATTGCGCCATATCGGACGCTACTTGACAGGTGTACATTACCCTCTGTAAGTGGCCAGAAAAAGAAAAGAAAAAAGATTGGTGCCCCTGGTACACGGGCACGACGACCACGATTATCCTCGCGGCGTCGAACGGCCATGCGATGATAGATAGGTGGGTAGCGTTCGCCAGGGCGACAGTTTGCAGATCTTTGTTCCCATTTACAGCTTGAAATCCGGTTAATACGACAACTAGCAATACAGTTGATTTAAGACAGGACGATCCGAGCTCAAGGCTAAGGCCGTCCAGCATATGAGCTATACTACCTCTCCTCCGAATACCGGGGAGTTCTTGTCGAGCGTGCTGATGACGAATGGTTCGTCCAGAGAAGCGGTGGGCTGGAGGGCGAGCGTGCTTCGCTTTCTCTCGGGCACGAAGGCCTGATTGGAAGCGGGGTCGTCGTCTCGCTGACCCGTCGTGAAGGTTTGCTGATGACTCGTTCGTTCTGTTTGAGCATGTGTTGGGAGAGTCAAGTCCCCGTTCATGAAAGTATCGCCGTGATATTCTCTGGACGCGCGCACCATGACAGCAGAGAAGATTATACCCTATTCCTAGTCAGCCCACGCAGAATTCCGTCGCAGAACCAGTGCACTCACAATTACGGGGTACGTCTAGGTCGTATGGATTGATGTCAGGATGAAAGGCTGGTGTAAAAGGCGCTATTGACGTACGGGATCCAAGATAACACACAGTACTGTCGTGTTTAGAGCGTTCGTTAGGATGAGTGCAGCAAGAATACAGGAGTATACGCCCGCTGTATACCGCCAAACCAAGGAAGATCAGTCTTCACCAGTGTAGCATGCGATAAGAGCTCACCAGACTCGATGATGATAGTAATAACACCCATGATACGAACTCCCGCCGCAGCGGACCCTGACAGCTTCCTGTGGCTAGCCCAGATTTTCCATGAGATCAGGACTAGCGAAGATATTCATAAGTGTCATACTTGCACTCGTGATCGGCATGCTCACCTGTACACAAGAGATTAAGAGTCAAAGTAACCGCATAGAAGTAGTCGATCCGAATTAGTGCAGTCCTCAGTGAAGTCTGGTGTTTATCAATGTTCAGATAACTCCACAAGAACCAGGCAAACAATACTATTTTCATTAGCCGCAAATTTCTCCCTTGCAAAGACGAACTCACCTATGTCGGCCAGAAAGAGCACAGAAGGGAGAGCTATCGTGCGGTATTTGCTTTCACAAACCACGAACGCTCGATAAACCTAGATATGATCTGGTGAGTCGA